CTCCCGAGGAGGAGGAGGAGGAGGAGGAGGAGGAGGAGGAGGAGGAGGAGGAGGAGGAGGAGGAGGAGGAGGAGGAGGAGGAGGAGGAGGAGGAGGAGAAGGAGGAGGAGGAGGAGGAGGAGGAGGAGGAGAGGAGGAGGAGGAGGAGGAGGAGGAGGAGGAGGAGGAGGAGGAGGGAGGAGGAGGAGGAGGAGGAGGGAGGAGGAGGAGGAGGAGGAGGAGGAGGAGGAGGAGGAGAGGAGGAGGAGGAGGAGGAGGAGGAGGGGAGGAGGAGGAGGAGAGGAGGGGAGGAGGAGGAGGAGGAGGAGGAGGAGGAGGAGGAGGAGGAGGAGGAGGAGGAGGAGGAGGAGGAGGAGGAGAGGGAGGAGGAGGAGGAGGATGAGGAGGAGGGGGAGGAGGAGGAGGAGGAGGAGGAGGAGGAGGAGGAGGAGGAGATGGAAGAGGAGGAGGAGGAGATGGAAGAGGAGGAGAGGGAGGATCCGTAGCCATTCTGGCTCAAGCCATTTTGGCTCAAGCCATTTGGCTCAAGCCATTTGGCTCAAGGCATTTTGGCCCAAGAAGGGGCTCAAGGCCTTGTCCTTGCTCTGTTTCGCCGACCTCTGACTTCCGGGGTCGCGAAGTTTGCGGGGCCTGGGCCCGTCGCCCTCAGACGCGCCTTTCTCTTGGACACGGCCTGTCCTGCGCAGCCATGGCCTCCGTGCGCCCCTCCTGTAACTGCAAGAAGAACAAGCTGCACCACACCTGGTGCATGCGCTGCTGGCAGCCGCTCCCAAAAGTTATTCCTTCTGACGGTCGCGCTGCTAGTGCTGCTGCTGCTGCTGCTGCTGCTGCTGCTGCTGCTGCTGCTGCTGCTGCTGCTGCTGCTGCTGCTGGCTGGGGGCGACGTGGCACGCCCTCTTCTAGCGCTAAAGCGCTCGACAAGCAGCAGGTGCAGGCCTTCGCAGCGATGTCCGAGGAGCACTTCTGCACAGCCTGCACCTTGCTCACGGCTGCGCAGCGAGCTCAAGTGGCGCATGAGCGTACGCAGCAGTCAGGTGATCCACACGCCGTGTCTCGAGCTGCCCAGCAGGAACATGGCAGCTCAAGGCTAAGCTGGAGGCCGTCGGCACCAAGCTCGAGAAGGCCGCGCCCATTCTCAAGAAGCAACTTCAGCGGGCGGTCGAGTTCAGGCCGCAGCAGAAGTCGCTCCTCGACCAGGAGAGGCCTGCGGCCGAGAAGTCACAGCAGGCGTGGACTCAGATCGCAGGCTCGGGCTCGGCTACTGCGACCACGGAGGACACGCCCGAGAAGGTGCTTTTCAAAAGTTCAATGCGCTCGACCCGAGCCTTGCCATGCAGTTTAACATGTTTCTCACGGCCAAAGCTTTGGCGGAGAGCCAGCGGGCGGCTCAGCGCGCTGCCTCTGCCCCTCCCCTTCGCGCTGATCCTGAGGGCGGCGGTCGTGAGCTGCCTGTGGGAACGGACGAGGAGATGCCTGACGGCGACGACAGCTTCGACGACTCGTGGGCCGACAACGCCAAGGTGCGGCAGGTTGCCCTCGCCACCCCGGGCAACGCCGACATGGCCAAGGACATCGCCGCGGCGAACGGTGTCCAGCAAGAGCAGATCACGCACATCATCGACGACGTGGTGGCGACGGCGGCGAGCGCCCCCACGCCTGAGCCCAGGCGCCATGGCTCTCGTTCCCCTCGCTTGGCAGATCGCGAGCGCAGGCCGTCAATTTAGCAGTGACGAAGCCGTCGTGCGTGACTGCAGCAGCAACAGATCTCGAGATTGGATCATCGGCACCTCCAATGTCACCGAGTAGTCCAGCCTCGAGAGGGCCCTCAGCGGGCAGCATGGTTTTGCTGCGCTTGTCGTTCAGGGGACCCACAAAGCTTTGAACGCCGATTCTCAGCAGGCCCCCCCCTCGCCGCGATGGGCGGTCGGCCAAGTTTTTGAAAGCGGTGCGCACCGAAAACGGAGGTACCTTCGGGGGATTGCTCACGTTGAATCCAACGCGCATTGGCATGGCCCTTCTGGAGTCCGAGCCCTTCGAAGTGTTTCCGGGACGTCGTTCGGTTCTCCATGCTGGGGGGATGGTGAAAGATGGTTTTCTCTTGGGCAACATCTACCCCAAGAATGGTGGCAATCTCGCCGACTTCAACTGGGGCATGTTAACGCGCTCGGGTGCTATTCTCAAGCGAGCACACATTCCCTTCATCGTAGGCGGTGATTGGAACATCGAGCCAAGCAGGTTGGCCTCCTCAGGATGGGCCACTGCGCTTGATGCTACCATAGTGGCGCCCAGCACTAGCACCTGCACACCTGCAGGACGCACGATCAATTTCTTCGTGGTCTCCTCTGGCCTCTTGGGTTGCACTCCGTCAGGATCCTCGAGGAGATCGCCACTTCCACCCGCTCGCCCGTGCCCCCGCGCATCGCTGCTGCGCCCAGCGACGCGCAGGTGCGCATGATCAGGGTACCTAGGCGCTGTCCAGTTGCAATTCCCATTGGCTGCGAGAACGAGCCAGATAGCAGCACCTGGCACCGTGCTTCGCAAGTGATCGCAAACACAAACTCGATCGATGCCAAACCGGATGCGTTTATCTCTACCGTTGAAAGCGAATGGGTCAGGATTTTACAGATACCTTCGGACGAGGCGGATAAGTACCGCGGGCGAATTATGCCAATCAAGCCCCATTTCCAATCTGCCCGGCGCCCTGGGCCTCCAAGGTTCCCGAGGCTATCGGCATTGGCTGTCTGGTGGAAGCAAGTACATTCGGCGCTTCTGGATCTCTGCAGGGCTCAGCATCAGGTCTCCGACAAGTTCCAGATGTAGGTTTCCAGCATCAGTAGGCTCCGCAAGCTCTCCAGAGCCCCTGCATTGCCTCATGAGGACCTCTACGTCGGGTGGGCCACTGCCTTGGGCGTCATTGAGCATGCCCCCGCCGACCTCATAGAAGTCCTCAAAGGGTGGGCCGAAAAGCAGGCCCTACACCAGCACCAGCAGCCTGCCAGGTACAGGGAGCAACAGTGGCACGAGTAGATCGACACGCACTCGGCCAATGGCGCGCCCGTCCTGCATGTTTGTTTACGCGCCGCCTGTCTAGCGGCAGCCAGCAGCTTTGGATCGCTGCAGGCTGCGGCCCGCCAACTCCCAGGAGCAGGTCGACAGCCTGCAAGCTGAGTGGGAAGAATGGTGAAAAGTGCATCATGAAAGACAGCCGCTGAACTGGCCTGCTTTCCTTGGAGATCGCCCCCCTGCCCCCTCGGTTTCTGAACTCACAGCTGTCCTTCGCGCGTTCCCCATCAAGACAGGCACTGGTTTTGATCCGGCTAGTCCCAGGAATTTCCTCTTCCTGCCAGATCACGCGATCCAGCTGCCATGTGACATCATCTCGCACATCGAGCAGAGACTCGAGTGGCCACGGATGTGCAGCCGCGTCGAATTTATCATGAAGAGAGCAGGAGGTGTCCGACCCCTCGGCCTGCTCCACGTTCTTTGTCGAGTGCAGCGTCGCCTACGGCGACCGATGATTGCAGCCTGGCAGCGCAACAACTGTCGGGATTTCTCCTGGCAAGTTGCAGGACCACAAGCAGTCAGGTAAGAGCCTCGCGTCGTCCCTAATGGTTGCCCCCAGCAAGGGCCTGGACCCCATCATCAGAACCACCTGCTTACCCGTCAAAATGTTCCCTCATGTGCGTTCACGGGAAGTGGCTGCCCAAACATGTCCTCCAGAAGAGCCTTCTGCAAAAGGATGCCAACCTCAGGCCTCTCATGTACCCGCGGAGCTCTATCGCAGGACCCTTCTCCGCTCTTTGGGCGTTGTTGTGGAGAGTAGGTGTCAGGGCCAAATTTCTGGAGAAATGGATAGTTTCTGAGGATCGTTCTCTGAACATTTCTGAAACCTGCCCCCCAGTTGCAAAGCAGCATGTGCTGCGCGCGGTACACCTCTGGCAGTGCAAGAAGATAGCGGAGCATCTTTAAGCACCTGAGTTTGCCAACGGCGTGCCCCTTGCCCCTGTCTTCTCCTATTTGCGCTCTAGGGCGCTATCACAAAAGAAGGGTTCTGTCAGATCATGTGCCATTGGCGCGCAGTGACCCATGGCGAGGCAATGGCAAGCTGGCTACCCCGTGGAGCCGTACTTGAGCAGGGACCGACCGTTCCGGCATTCCTATAGTCATACACCGAAATGTTCTTAGAACCCAGAGATGTTCTAAGAACAAAAACAATGTTCTTAGAACAAAAACCCGATGTGTTCAAACAAGACAGACTCCGCCAGAAATGTTCTAAGAGCATTCCGTGGAAACCACAAAAAGTTCTTAGAACATTCTTTGGTGGGGCTATAGGCGAAACAGGACGCTTCGCCACTGCTTGACGTATTGCCTTGCGTGTTTGGCTGTCGGCACGCGCACGCTCGGCACGCTTGTGCACGGGCACTGCGCGTGCGCGCAGCACGCGCTCGCGCTCGAGTCTCCGCATGTGTCGGGCGCGCCCCTCGCTGACGCTGCAGAGCGAGGTGGGCTCCCGCAGCTGCTGGCCGAGAGATGTGTTGTGCCGATGCCGTTCTTTTGAGCGCCCATCTCACCCCGACCTCCCACAGTCCCTGTGGGTCCATGGGCATCCTGGCATGCTCTCTGGGGACGTCTTCCTGGATGGTTCGTGCTTCGAGGGTGATTTCGGACCCTGGGCCGCCGCGGGATGGTCGGTGGTGTCTCTGGCAGATGGGCACAGCATGTGTCATGATAAAGCCACTGTCTTGCGCGGTCCCATTCATTCTGCGTTTCCGTCCATCAGTGAAGCTGAGCTGCAGGCATTGTTGCATTGCCTCAGGCACGCATGCCCGCCCAGTGTTGTGCACACAGACTCGAAGTATGTTTCGACGGTGTCGCTGCACGCGGCAGGCTTGAATGTACTCGACTGTTCAGCATGCATTCCTTTTTATGGCGACAGGTCTGGGACAGGCTTGATGATTGGGGGTTCGGTGGGGTGTCGTCGCCGTAGGTTTCGTTTGTCA